AACTTTTTCCATTAGTACACTCCAATAAGTCAATATCTCTAATCCTAAGCTCTTAATGGCAGCACCAAATGCATGGACAACACCCTAATTGATTCAAGACTACTTTCCATCCAACACCATGGTCTAGAAGCTACATAATGCACTCAAATGCTATGGAGTTCACCCAAACTCCAAGGATAAGAAGATTGGTACTAAAAAGCTCATAAAATGGCCTATCATAAGATCTAAAGATACAATGCACAAGATTGAGACTTTATACCTTTATAAGGTCTAAAATGAGATAGAGATGCTCGATCCAAGCCAAAGCCAAGCTTCCAAACCACAAGATGGACTCTTTCTTCTTCCGAGCTTCACAAAAATGGCTTCACACTCTTATAAATCTCACAAAGAGGCTCGGGTTTGGGTGGAGGTTGTTCTCAGAGGATGGAGGTTGCCAAGTGAGGTATCCCTAGAAGTTAGTGCCTTTAAATAGGCCACTAATCCTGAAATTTAGGGTTTTGAACCATAACCGTCGCTACGTCATGGCCAACAGCTTGCCACGTCGTGGAGGTTCATGAATGCTTGTTTTTTGTAACCGGGATGCCACGTTGTCGTCATTCCATCACCATGTCACGGCCTAGAAAAAATCCCAAAACTTAATAAAAGAAATTAAATTCAGTAGAAGCATATCAGGAAACAGGTGTTATGTTAAGTGAATCAGTTTATTCAGTTTGATAATATGGATCCGAGTAGTTATTATTAAATTACAATTCAGTTCAAACCAAACAAATTAAAATTATGTGGATCCATTTTAACAGTTCAATTTTCAAGAATTTTAGGGGTTATTTGATAGTTGTTAATTGGGTTGGAGATGAATGTGTTAGAAACTAACTGTGTTAGAAGTTCTGATTGAGTTAATTGATGGCTGAAACTTGTTGTTTGATTTTACATCTAAGCAATTGTGAAAATGACTATATTGCTCTCAGACAATATTTTTTATGATAATTACTTTATGATTTACCAATTAATGTATAACATTACATAATTGGTAGAATTATCTGTTATGTGTAAAACATGCAAGTATGTTGCTATTGTATACACCCAAGTACACACAAATATACACACATGCATAAAAAGATACATACAAATACACACACATACACACAAATTTTATGTTATGTGATTTAAGCTATATATTAAAATTAATCATACCCAAATTACCTAAATCAAACATTTTTACAATTCACTCATAAAATCCATTTCATGATAACGAGTGAATGCAAGCATATTAGTCATTAGCTTGTTCATGACTCGTTTGAGAGTAATGATACATGACTTTACACCACTACTACCATTTCTCTCAACTTATACATCACCATTCACCGCTTCCATTGTTGTTCCTTTTTCATACCCCCAAGCAAATACTCACATTTTCAACCATTCACCCGTTTTCAAGGATTTTTAAGCATATATACACATTTTAGCACAAATACAAACATGTACACACCTAAATTGCTCATCTGTTTCAGACACAAATACACACATTTTTGTCAAGAATATAAACACATTTGAAACATTCATATGTTTTTGGAACATCAGCAACATTTCAAGCACTTGTCTGTTTTCAGAAAAAAAAATGAGAAAGGAAGAGCTCGAAGAATTCATTCGTTTTCGGAAACGAAGAGCATATGTGAAAGCACGTATGCAAATGGTTTTTCTAGAAAAAAGGAATACATCTGTGTGAATCAGAAAAGTTGTGGAGGTGGAGGTTGCTCTTGTGAGAATTGATTTTCCTCCTTGTGCTTTTTTCTCATTATGTTGGAGTAAGTAGATGGGTCAGGTATTACTAGCTATTATAGACCGAGTCATTCATGTTTAGGCTTTATCAGACGTATTGACCCGGATCGAGTCAACCAAAATTGTTGACCGAACCCAGTCAACTCATTATCAAACGAGCCCTTAGTCACTTCTTATACATACAACTCTAACCTTAACAAGAGTGAATTGTGAAGTTTAAATCCATAAACTATTGAATAATTTATAATTTCAGGTGTTATTATTTTTTTTTTGTGGAAAATCTCTTCCTGACCATTTGTATGTGTGTGCACAAATGTTTCATATACAAAATGTTATTTAGAAGACAACAAACGTCAAAATGTTTGCACATTCTCTTTTTCAAGAAGACTTAGGTTTAGTCTTCAAATTTCACAGAGGTCTGCTAATTAAAAAACCGCCATTGAGCCTAGAAAGAAAAAACATGGCATAGTTCTTTCCCTTGGGCCCGCTCTATATATTATTTATTGCTTTTAAGAGAATAAAATACATCTAAATCGTATTTTCAATTATTATTATTTTATAAAATTTAGAATTTTTTATATATTTAGGTATAAAATAAAGTCATCAAAATTAAAAGATGTGATCAATTTAAATTTGACTAGTTATATGCTTTATTTGATTTAAACATGTGATACAAACACATGGAAAAGTTCAATAGAGAATCATTATTAATCAAGGAACCAAATAATCAGTCGAAATCATCAAAATTTTAAATGATTGACAACCAAAGGAAGGGCTGTTGACTTTTACATTGGATGTGAATCTACCGGATTATACCAAAAACTCATTTCATTTTTTAGTTTTTATAGGCCATCTTTTTTTGTCAAAAAAGAAATACTGAATATACCTATAACACCCAGATCAGGTGCACTTTATCTTTAATATTGTGATGTCAAAAGTTTCAATAATTGCCTGCTCACGATGTGAAGAATGCCCTTTTTACGTTGTGAGGAACAATTTAGACCCGTGCATCATTTTATGGCTCACGTTGAGAGTGGTATAGTGCTCATGACGTGAGGGCGGCTGATGACCAAAAACCCTAAGTTTTCTGTATTTAAGGGAATGAGAAGGACATGGTTTCTCACCCTCAACCTCTCGCACTCTCTAAGCCTCCAAAAACCATAATCCTACTCCTCTCTAAGATCCTTTGTTATTTGGGTCCATTTCTAGCTTGAAGAAGAAGAAATGAAGAAGAAGGAAGTACCCTAGTGGTGGTGTGGGCAAGGAATTAGCATCATCATCATCTTTTCCTGTCTTTGGACCCTTTTAAGTATCAAAGGCTAAACAATATTGTTTATCATTGATAGATCTTGAGTTGTCTATCTTATTGATGTTATTGCATGTTTGAGTGGAGTAAATCCATAAATCTGGAAGTTGGTATGGATTTGAGGCATGCATGAAAGTTTGAATCTTATTTCCTCCCTTTTTGACATAGAAATGGATGATCATGTTTAGTGCATGCATGGCCATAAAGGAAACATTTTTATGGATCTTAGGTGTCCCCTTTAGCTTTTGGAAGAAGTGGACTCGAAGACTTAATGGAATAAGGACTTCAAATTAACCACAGACAACGCTCACGAAGCGATATACAAAATCTCACAACATGAGATTTGGGGTGTCCCTGTCTTCTGTTAGAACCATTGGAGCTCACGACGTGAGAATGGGTGCTCACTCAGTGATCCTGGTTCAAGTGGCTTCTTTGACTGAGTTAACTAGTTAGGTTGAGTCGAGTGGGAATCGGATCGGGTTCGCTATCACGACATGACCAATGCCTGGCCACGACGTGAGGTGGGTTGAATTTGACCAAGTTTAACCGAGGTGGACTTAAGTATATTTTGGGTATTTCAGATTATGTTTTAGATTTGGGTCATTCTGATGATTCGGTGTTGGTTTAGGCTAAGATTCGTAGTCAGGGCCTCATCAGCTAGTGTTTAGTTTCCGCGATGAGTTTTCCTCACTGTACTTTCGGGTCGAAGGCACCAAGACGGCCCATTGGACTAGATATCTTGTTATGTGTTAGTATGATATCATGTCGTAGTGATCTGTTAGAGCGATATCCTAGTATATATATATATATATATATATATATATATATATATATATATATAGGATGATGCTATGTTTAGTGATCTGTAAGATCTGTCTGGTTGTCTATTGATTGGTTATATGAATGTTTATCTGTTGTGTATAAGTTGACATGTTGTGTGGTTAGGTTAAGGTGGACCAGCATGGACTGAAGGCCAAGAGACCCAGGGCGTCCCGAATAGACTGTAGGCCTGAAGGGCGCACCAGTCAGACCGAAGGCCCATAGAACGATCTAGACAGGTTGAAGGTCCGATGAGACGTTCCAGATAGGATGAAGGATCCATATGCATGATGTTTGTTACTGTCACTACAAGAAAAACAACCTTTTACGACGCGCAATTAATGATATACACTGATAGAGGACGCGCATTTGTGCGTGCCCTAAAAATTAATGTCAGTTTTCCAAAATTTGAAGGATAAAAGACACGCATTTTGGGCGTGCCCTAAAATTAGTGTCCAACAAAAAAAACACGGAGGGCACCTATCATAAAAAGGCGTGTCGTGTAAAGGTGCCGCTTTATATTTTTTTTAGGAAGGCGCGTTCTCCATTTTTTGGGGGGGAAATGAAATCCCAAAAAATTAAACACCCCCGCCTGATGCGTCTTCTTCCGAGACTTCCTACTACACCTTTTTTTCTTGGCGCTTTAGGGTTCATTCATCTCCTTCTCACCCCCTTTGTTTATCCTAAAATTATCCAGTCTCGTTTGATGGGAAATTGGCGATATTCATCCTAAACTTCAATGTTACAAGATGAGTGATCCTGGAGTCTTCAGCAACCTCGATTCAAAGTCAGGAATGGATGTGTGCTCTCTTGTCTGCTGTCGTTGGTGTTTATTTTCCACCATGTCCCTGTCTTAATTAAGAAGAAGGTGATTATTTTCCAACGCGCGTTCTTATAACATGAACCAAACTAGGGCTTTTTTTAAGAACCCTATTCAAATACAAGGCGATTGCTCTACTATGCGACCGCCGATATTAACTCACCTCACCATGTCTAAGTTCGTTTTCTCCCTCATTATCGCAACAGAGTTTGATTTTTGCCACATCCTCACGCTGAGTCGATCGACGACTGCGACATCTCTCAATTGTTGAATCGATCGATGACTGTGAATCCTCCACTGCGACTCCTCTTGATTGTAGACTTAATTGATTCGTTCATGTTCTTGTCTCTCCCCTCCACCAAGGTTTCTCTCGTCCCTCTCCTCCACCAGATGTAGATTGTCGAAGAGGTGAAGAGGAAACCAATTTCTATAAAGCTAGCAATGCTCTAATTTGTTCCTTTTTCTGGTAATTCTACAATCTCATTACAATTTATTTGATTTTTGTTTTTTATTTTATAAATGTACCTGTTAATTTTTAGACATGAATCACTTCACCATCCCATCGTTTTTAGGACACTATTGTTGAGATATGTGTTTGACTGTATAACAAAAATTGGTTTGATGCTTTTTTTCTCTCTTATTTAGTTTATTGGTGAATAAAACTAACATGGCTCCATATTTCTTACTTGATTAAAGTATCCTCTTGGACGATTCATTGGTGGAACAATTTACCTAGCTGGATTGACTCTAACAGCTGGAACCATATTAAAGTTACAGGTTGCTGGACCTAGGGAAAGAAGAGCTTGCAATGCTTTTGCTTCATTACAAGGTCAAGTTGGATCCTACCTGATGAGGTGATGACAACCATATTAAACGGCACCACCTGGTTCAACCCCACCCTTAAAGAATGTTGTAAATTACCATAAGTTTGTTATTTAGATACTGACTTAGTGGATTTTATATTTATACCTTGTGAGTTTTATAAAAAAAAATTATCATTCCTTTCTTTTGGGTTCTCAAAAGTGGAGATTGCTTATATTCTTATAGGTACCTGTTCCTGCACTAAAGGAACAGATTGCTTCTGTTACTATTACTGGTGTATTATCTGAACAGCAACGTTTAATATGTCGTGGCAAATTTTTGAAAGATGATCAACTCATTTCGGCTTATCGTATCCTTTTCTATATCTTACATTTTTTTGTTTGCTTGAAAGGGTTCTCTTTTAGTTTCATTATTGAATATTGATGGATGCTGAAGTTCCTTAATGAGTATGAATCATAGATGTGGAAGATGGTGAATGTTTTGTTTTAGATATTTAGGGGGCTTGCGTACATGCATACGGTTGCAGGAGTATGCCATCGAGACTTGAAGCCTCAAAATGTTCTATTCTGTGAGCTTGTCTTGTGAAAGTTCTCTTTTTGGTTTTTATTTGATTTGATGTTTTAGGGTTAATTTTGTTATGTTTTTTAGGTTGACTAATATAGTATGTTCTAAATCCCCTTCAATTCACTTTTGAAATGTTAAAATTACCATTATGCCCTTTAGTTCACTTCTATTATTTTGAAAGCCACCTGCATCCTACAATAGGGGTAAGGTTTCTAAAAATAGCATCTTCACATATGATTTGTTTTAATACATTTTACTATTTGAATTTAATTTAATTATTTTTTTAAAAAATAATTTGTATTCTTTGTTTAACTAGAAAGACAAAAGACCGAAGCTTGCTCAATGTAACAGAACAGCCTTTAACAATAAAATAAACATTATAAATCTCACTATATAGAGTTTTGTTCATTATTTACAAAAAAAATATATCTTTTACTGTTCCTTCACCTTCGACACCTGGAGCTTCTCCTCTACCGGGGAGTTAATGAGTGGTGTTGGTGTGTCATATTTGACCAATGGTGGAAACATTGGGCATGGACATGGGCAGTTAAGTGGGGCAGTGTTGACTAGCCAAAATATTTCTATTGGGACACCTGTCATATCGGCTTCCCCTTTGCTTGCTGTGTTTACTAGTACAGATGGACATGGTGTTGTGGCTTCGATTGGGTGCGAGAAGTCTAGTGCTGCAGAATAGCCTCTTGAGAGATTACTCAAAGTGGTAAGTTTGTAAATTGGAAAAAGTTGTTTCACCATTTAAATAGTAAAAGTTTTATTGGAGTCTTAGTTGACAGGTGAAATCAATTTCAGCAAATGCGTTGAGTTCCCCTGTTAATGACATTGGTTCAGTGGTGAGTATGATTGATAGGATTGCAGGATCAGCACCAGGTAATGGATCAAGAGCTGCAGTTGGTGAGGATTTGGTTGCCATGATTTCGGCTTCAAGCAAGAACTATTATCACTTAAGAGGGAACAAATCCCAATGCCATCAGAAAGATGAAAAGGTCCACAAGTCCAATGCCTTTAAATGTTGTTTCATCTACTGAAAGTGTGAACGATAGCTTCAAAATGTTATCAGCATATTATTAATATTATTTGTTTAGTAATTAGATAAGTAGAGTTGATTAATGAAGTTATATATATATTGCATGTGAATCGATACTACTCAGGTTGTTTTTGAGCCCATATGAACTGACACCAAAGCATAAGAATATTAAGATGAAATTTTGTATATTATATGAAGATGAAGTTTTTATGCATTAACGTCGGGTTTATGCACGCAGCAACAAAGATTTTGGCACGCCAATTGGTGAGGCTTAGACAACAAATAGCCAACCTACAAAGTAGTCGGGCTCAAATGAGGGGCATAGCAACACATACACAGGTAAATTTTCAAATCGCAACATTTTTTTTTGTCATAAATAAATTATACTATATGATTGACTTTCTATGGTTTTAACTTCTCTCAGGCATTAGCTGCACACTCTTTTGTGGCTGTTGGGATGAAAGGTGCTACCAAGGCAATGGCAGCAATGAATAAGGTTGGTGTTATACAACATATATATATATATATATATATATATATATATATATATATATATATATATATATATATATATAATATCTTTCTGTTTTCCTCAACATCTTTATGAAATTTTGATAGAATAAATAAATACTCTGTATATTGATAAGTAACTTATGATGTGAATGTGTTGTTTGTAGGAAATGGCTCCTGCAAAGCAAATTAAAGTGATGCAAGAGTTCCAGAAGCAATCTGAATAAATGGATATGATTGTAAGATAGTGCATGCCCTTACAATATAAAGTATAAAATTAAAAAAAAAACATTATTTTTCACGTAGACTGAAATGATGTCAGATGCGATAGATGATGAAGCACTTGGGATTCATTTATTTAGTCCAATTCCTGCTTCCATGGTGTGAGGGAAAATGGAACATAATACTCTGATTATTTTTTTGTGCAGACTGAAAATGATGTCAGATGCAATATATGATGTTCTTGATGATGATGAAGCTGAGGATGAAACTGATGATCTCACCAACCAGGTAAACTCTATGTTGCATAGTTCTGTGTTGTTTGGATAAATGATGTATGAAATATATTAAAGAAAAAAATTGGATGAGGGCAGATTTATAAAAAGTTAGGGCTTAATAGGAAAGGCCTCTTGTGATTTTTTTTATTGTTTTTCTGCATCTGGTTAAAAAGAAACACTCATATATAGCTCTTATGGAATCAAGTCCATTAAGTAAAAAAAAACACATTTTTCACCCAACATTATTTTTTACCTTTTCATATATAAATGTTTGAAATTGCATGTAACAACAGCTGGGGAGATAAAGGGCTGATTGAGCCATCACTTCAACACCTGAAACTGCCACATCATCAAATGCTCATGAAAATTCTTCTGCTACTTTTTCTATCATTACTCAATTAGGCTTGTTTCTTTCTGATAAAGAGCGGATATATAAAGATGGTGCTTTGAAGGTCCTCATTCGTTCATTGTTGCTCTTTACTCCAAAATTACAGCTGGAGTTGCTGAAACTTATCGAAGAGCTTGCTTCAACTGGACCTTTTAATCAAGAAAACCTAACATCTGATGGTAATTAACTCTGTTTGTATATTTTAAAAGTTGTTAGAAGCAATCTGTATCTTATCTTTGCTATTTTTTTCTCAGGTTGTGTGGAGCTTCTTTTGGAGACAAGTACCATATTTTCCAAAAGATTTTGAATCTTCCAATACCGTATTTTCCAAAAGGCATACAAGTACCACAGGCCCACAAGTTCTATGGTTGTTCTTAGTTTGTGCAACAGATGGTGGTGAAACATTTTATGCAGAGATCTGTCTTCAAGAAGATGGAATATTAACCCTTGCAACCAGCAATTCATCTTCATTGTCTTTTTCAGGGTTAGATGTTAATGAAGACCAATGGCATCACCTTGTAGTGGTACACAGCAAACCAAATACTTAGGTTGGACTATTTCAATCCAATTTTGCTTATGTGTATCTTAATGGGAAGCTTAGACACATGGGGAGGCTAGGGTATTCCCTCTCTCCTGCTGGAAAGTCTCTACAGGTAACAATTGGGACACCAAAATCGTTATCCTTCTGATTCAAAAGACACTGACATGGATCTTCCAAGTCTAGCTGTTGTTCTACAAACAAAACTTAGTCCCAATCCTGCTGAAAGAAAAGCCGCTGAAGAGAGCCTCAATAAGGTATTTATTTCTCATTTGGATCGAAGTTACATTGGAAATCGTATTCAATCATGGATCTTCCAAGTCTAGCTGTAGGTATATGCTTTTCTTAATGAATAATGTAATCATATGTATGAATATGAAATAAAGTTTTTTTATTTAGTATGTAATAATCATGTATGGGGAGAAAACAACTTCTATTGATTTGTTTTATCTTTCCATGGATCGATTATTTGTATGATATTAAATTTTAGGCAATGGAGTGTATTTTTTGTATATAGTATTTTATTTTTTGTTATGAGACATTATATGCAAATTTAATTTGAAAACTAGTAAATCTATAAATAAATTTTTTTTCTTAACATTTAAAATTACGATACACAAAAATGTGTGTCATCTTCATTTATGACATGGCCTTTCTTGACAGGGGCTTCCTTGATACGCATTGCGTGTCATTAACACGCGCGTCGTAAGGTTACGACGCGTAAATATGTGTTGTCTTCCTTTATGACAGGGCCTTCCTTGATACGCATTGCGGGTCGTAAACGCGCGTCGTAAATGCACGTCGTGTATAGACAACGCGCAAAAGCGCGTCATTTCCCTTTATGACAAGGCCTTCCTTGACGCGCATTTGCGCGTCGTCTGAGCCTTTTACGACGTGCAATGAGCGTCGTAAAAGGCTGTTTTTCTAGTAGTGTATGCTTATGTTTTGTTGTGGTATTTTGGGAAACTCACTAAGCGTTGGCTTCCAGTTTTGAGTTATGTTTCAGGTACTTTGGATGACCGCGAGAAGGCGAAGGCATGACCGTACACATCCTCATGTTATATGAATTATGACTTTTGGAGACTCTGATGTCTGAAATGTTTGAAAACTATTATTTGTAAATAATATATGAATTTGGGTAAATTTTAAAGTTTAAATTTCTTGTGATTTTTATGAGTGTTACAAGTTGGTATCAGATCCTTGGTTTGAGTGAATTGGAGGAACACTCATGTGAATCCAGTGTCACACTAAGGAAAAAGGATTTTTTAAAATGATTTTTCAATTGGTTTTCAAAATGATCCAGAAGGATGCGATGTATACGATCAGCCAGAGTAAGTTGACCCCACATTACCACACTGATATTTGAGATTGTGAAATGTTAGAACATCATGCTAGTGATAGGATAGGGATCTTCATGACTTAGATGATAGAATTGTGTGATTATATGATGCCTAATAGCCTAGGGTTTTGCTTATATGAAACTGTAGTTGCTTTTTGTTTGCATCATAGTTATACATAACTAAGATTCTATATAATGGGAATCTTTGGTTTGGCCTTACTTCCTGTTCTTGTCCGATGAAGGGCTTAGGGTAGAATCAGTTATTCAACTTTCTATAGCATCCAATGTTATGTATGATTAGCATACATAAGTGTTACATGGTTGGTAGAAGTTTCATAGATGAGTTGTGTGGGGTCACTCGACCAGTTTCATAATGTTTAGCCTTCCTCTAGGGAGTGGGGATTGAGTGAATGTGTATGCTAGTGTGTATTGTTAGGGTTTTTGTGATGATCATCTGAGAAAAATATGGGTTGGTGTGGAAGGTAGTATGGGCCCATACTACTAGAAACACAGGACCCGTACGCGTAGCAGGGAAGTCACAACCCTTAGGGATTTTTTAAGAGTTGGTATGCATTTTATCTGATATCTCGCTAGTTTATTTTTAGTATGGTGGTGACGAGACGAGTTGAGGCAGGATCAGGATTAGGATCGGGGGCTGGTGGTCAGGATAGGCCAGCTTTGACTAAGGAGCGAGTGAGGGAGATCATGCGGGAAGAGGTTGTTTCCCTCTTTCAGGAACGGTTACCAGACACGTTTGGGTCTATTAAGACCACCATGGTGGAGTACTTTAATGACCATTATGTTGCATTGTCTAAGGCTGTTGCGTTTGCAACCACCACAACCGTTACAGCTGTAGGGATTGGTGTTGGGAGGGATTTTCAACATCGGGTCTTCGGCAATATGAACCCACAACTTT